ACTGACGATTTTGGCCCGGGGTGCGATGTAACCAAATGGCCTGGTTTAGAAGGGAAAGTGCACAAATTTTAACAGCACTCGTTTTTAAATAAATTTAAGAAGTTAGGAGGAAATTTGCGTTTGTCTTTGCCTCGGTCTTTGCTCTTGTTTTAAAAATTTATTAAGTTTTTTTTTAATTTCTCTTTTTTATCACATTTTTTGAGTCATTTGGCGCGGGGTGTATTTGCACCCCTGCATCCCGGGCCAGTCCGGCCCTGAGAACTACTATAACCACCTCAAAAAATCGTCTTCGAATCATTTGAAAAAATATTACCTTTAGGTAGTCCAGATACCGTTTTTCATCCCTACCCTAAACGGGATTTACACTTTTGTACTTAGTTGTGAAATTTTGGGTATCACTACTTTTTAGACAGTAAGCAACAAAAAGTATATTACAAAATTCTATTGTTTTTTCTTTCTTTCAGCCTTTACAGTACGAAAAACATTGCAACACCTGCATGAAAAATGCGGAAAGGCATCAAGCATCTTGTAAAAGGACGTAAGTTTGTCTAATACATTCTATGCACCCCCACTTCGATTGTTCTTCGGCTAACAATAGGCACCATTGTTGGAGGTCCAACTGGCGCGTTACTCACACTTCTGATGGCATTACTCAAGAAGACCTTGGGGTAATAATTACTATTAAGAACGCAGCGCATTGACAGTCGCTGCCCACATTCGTACGTAGTGGTAAAGAGCTTCGACGACGGCGTCCGGTGTTGTTATTGTTATGCATTAAACAGTGAAAAGTTAGACAAGACGGGACTAACTTCCTATCTTATGCCCAGAATTACAAGTTACTTTCCGTTTTAACTGATCGAACCGGATTCCTCGCTGCATTCCATGAGTCAATCGAAAAAAAACCTCGCGGGGTCACGGTTGGCCGAGAAACACCTCGAATACCTGATCGTCCTCATCCATCCGTGCGCGGTAATCGGACGGCTCTGAATGTTCTGCCTGCTACGATCATAGTAAAACTTTGATGTTCAATTTTATCTGTGAAGATGTGATGTTGATTGTTTCGGCTTGGAAGTGTAATTAAAATGTTTTATCTTCTGAGATAAAGCTTCTCATACGTTTATCAACACACGCGTCTGCTACTTATACGTGCTGTATCCTATAAATAATATGTTTTTTTGCACTTACAATTAGTCAAAGAATTATTAAGATTACATTTGTTTGAATTTGTTGTATGAACTTTTTCACCTCAAGATGTATAACAATCACCATCAAGGAATTTATACCATTCGGGGTGACATGTGCTACGTAAGTAATTTTTATTTCTTTATACATAATTTGACCCATCGCCAATTTTTTTAAATTATAATATAAGCAATATAACGAACATTATTTTGCTCTTTATTGGTACTAGTTTTTAAGTAGCTTAATAAATTAAGTTAAATCTATCGCAATTCTTTTGATTACCTTTGAATATTAATGATTTTAGTTATAAAAAAACAAAAAACTCGTCATCATTTAAAGTTAGAATCACTTATAGGTATTTCATAATTAATCAAATGACCTATGATATCATCGCTCTTTTATAAACTGCATCTTTTTCATATCAAACTGTAAAAGGTACTCCTCAAAGAAAAAATATTCCTTGGACCATAAGTAATTTACGAATATAATAATAACAGTTGTTTACCGGAAACATGTACAGCAAACGTTTTAATTATTTTTTAACATTGCTTAGTAAAAGCACTTTTTTTATCTAACAGAATTTAAATTATACGGGAATTTTGACGAAGATACGGTAGAGTAATTGTTTATAAAAGTTGGTATTAGGTATTCTGCACAAGGTTGATTTAGAGCAACCTAAATAGGTAGTTACGATATAATAACAATAATTATTTAATCTTAGTTACAAAAATACTAGAATTTAGTATTTCTGAAAACAATATACCGTTGTATTTATCGAAACAATAAATCAAAATTTTCATCGTTTAAAAACGCAAGAAAACTTAAAAAAAAATGCAATAACTTGACTCTTCAATTTGCAGCATATATGAAGTACAGACCACAATATCTACGAAATAACGTATCTATTATTTATCACGTCGTTAAAAGATAAAATACTTTTGTTAATAAGTACATACTTTCAGATGACGCATAATTGTATTAGTGTGTTTAATAAAAGTTACGAAGATGTGAATAATACTTTGAGCACCGGTTATATATATGTACATATTTATAAGTAGGTAAGCTGTCTTGAATAATTATTGGAATTGATGACAGAGGGACTAAAATATCATTTGGTTGACAAATATATTAACACGATATCCATTAAATATTTATTATATAAAGAAGGAATACACACAAGAGTCCAATTATTAGATAAAAAAGATTCACGAATAAAAAGTACGTTGTAGATATTTCCTCTTTTTTTTTCGGACACAAAATGTAGATCACCAGATAGTGATTTTGTCGGGTACCGCAAAACCGGGTACTGCTAATGTCGGGATGACATCATTTGCCATTTGAATATTTGCCTTAAACGTAAAAAAATTTTGGTTTTTGGCAATCAAATGTCATTATTTATTTACTCAATTCCACATAAAAAAAAACGAAATGTTATTTTCTATAAATCTTTTATATTTATTTCTTGATTAATCATTTCAAAAAGAGCATTTTTTTTAATTCTTGATTCATCATCATAAGTCCTAAGACTGGTTGGACACGCATCTCCACTCTTTCCTATCCTGAGCTAATCTTCGCATTTCCTTAAAACTGGAACAACCCACATCCCTAACTATTGGCGAACAGTAATCTAATCTAGGTCTACCTCTACTCCTTTTAACTCCTGTTTCTGCCTGAGAAGTGACTTCCTTTTATTGAAGACGACTCGACCCTGCGCTATTCTCAGCTTTTTATCCCTACTACTCCTTCCGTCCTGACTTATCTGACTTCCTAGATACCTAAAATCGGTCACTTCTTCTAATTTTTCGTCTTCTATCTTTCTATTCGCTCTTTCCCTATTTTTTCTTCCTTTGCATACCAGTATTTTTGTTTTACTCTTTTTAATTTCTCATAATACTGCTAAATCATCTGCAAATCTAAGCACACTGATCTTTTGCCCCTGTATATTTATCCCTACAATTGTACTGTCTTTAATGATTTTCATCGCGTCTTCAATGTATAGATTAAAAAGTAGCGGTGACAGTGTGCATCCCTGTCTGGCTCCCTTCCTAATATTTACTTCTCTAAGTTGCAACTCCAATTCTATAACTGCCTGTTGCTCTTTATACAAACTAAGTATCACTCTTCTATCGCTGTAACTTATTACTACATTTTTAAGTACCTATATTTAACATTGTCAAAAGCTTTCTCTAAATCTACAAATCCTATGTACGCACTCTTTCTTTTTTCTATCGTTTTCTCTATTGTTACCCGTAAAGCTAGAATGGCCTCCCGAGTTCCTCTATTTTTTCTACCCAAATTTATCTTCTCCTAATAGTTCTTCCGCCCTTATTTTCATCCTCCTCTGTACAATTCTAATTAATATGTTTGACGCATGTGAAGTTAAGCTAATTGTTCTAAATGACTCGCACCGTCTATCCGATGCCGACTTCCCTCGTCCCGTAAATTTGACTAAAACATACGATCTCTAACCTTTTGTCCTGCATGTTTTAGATTTTCCCCCTATATCCCATCTAAACCTGCTGCCTTATTATTGTTTAAGTTTTTTAATGTTACATCGAACTCTTCTCTCATTATGGGATAACCTAGCTCATCAATCTCCACACTATCTTCCTTCTCTAATATATCTCCTAACTCATGGCCTGCGTATAGATTCTCCAAATATTCTTTCCACCTATCTGCCTTTTCATCATTTTCTATCAAAAAATTTTAAAAAACATATTTGAGACCCTTACAACAAACCCTTCCATTTAATATAGGTACCACACGGCACAGTTTGCAGTTTTTTAATTTATTGTTATTATGCTTGATTACCCTTTATTTAACAACTATCACATAAAGAGATTTTAAAATACAAAAAACATGAATGTTTAATTATTATTTGAAAACAATTTTACTGTTTTGTACAATAGCAAAATCTCTTATTACATCAGAGCAGACACGATTCCTACTACGACCTTCTTCAATTTGCGTTCATAAGTTGACCTTTCAAAGAAGCGAATGAACTGATGAACTTCGATTAAAAATCAGTTCGTAGCTAAAAACGACAAGACACCACTCTTTTGAACTGTATTCTGAACTGTATGGATTGTACCTACCTATGTATATTTGCATACAATGACTACATTTACCTATTAGGTGCCAATTAACTGTTAAATTCAATAATGTAGTATTTGCTTATTTCATTGTGTAAACAAGACACTTTCAAATATATATGTATTTACACGACGAATGAAATGGTTGCCAATCATTGTTAGAGTTATTTGCCTTCGGGTTTGCATATATGCATACATATACAGTGTGATTAATACAAACTGGTCTTTGGAAGCTTATAAGAAACGAAAAGGGACACAATGGATTTTAAAGAGAAGAGTTATTGCCTTTTGAATTTATTTTAACTGAATACCACACCCCAAATGTTTGAAGCACTTATTTGTCAGTAGCAAATAATAAATTCGTCTGAGGAAGCAAAGTTGCAAAGGAAGCATGGTAAGCAATTAAAAAAGTTTCTGAAAATTTTAAGTGTTTCTTTACTCATAATTACTTTTTTAAATTTAAGGAATTTAGTTCCTAACTGAGGATGACACTCCGAAACGTGCATTTAGGAACTAAATTTTTAATTTTTAGGGTTCCGTACGTTCTAATGAAAAACGGAAATTTTATTGGATCACTCGTGTGTCTGTCTGTCCTGTCACAGTCAACATGCTCCAAATTTACTGAACCGATTAAGTTGAAATTTCCTGAAATGTATGAATTTCTGTGAACCAAACACGGACGCATAAACGTAAATAAATTAATTTTGAAGATGGGGGTCATATTTGGTGGGCCAATAGGAAATTAAAAAAAAAAGTTTTGCAAACTGTACCGTGTGAGATATTAAATGGAAGGACTTGTTGTAATGGTCTCAAATATACTTTTTTTTTTTAATTTTAAAATAAATAGTTTTAGTTAATTAAGAAAATAGATGAAAACTGACCATTCCCCCTACCCTTATCTACGAAACTACTGGCCCTAAAATTTTGAAAAAGATAGAGAACGGATGATGACTTTCGTGTTATGGAATAAATAAATGCCCACAAATTACAAAAGATGTAACCTAGAATCGGCAAGTGGTATTATCACTTCCGTATCACGGAGTTTGACAACATAACATTTTTTCATGGAAATAGCTTAATGGTTACATGAAAAAATCTTTAAGGCTTTTTAGAAAGAGAAACGCTTCTATTTCGATGAATCCTTGGTCCATATTAAAAAAAATAGATGAAAATTGACCATTCCCCCTCCCACTTATCTACGAAACCACTGATCCTAAAATTTTGAAAAAAAAATACGGAAAATAGTTCTTCACTTATAGATTACAGAAAAGTTAATAAGAAGTCGATGGTCTGAGCATAATGTGGTAAATGTTTCAACAAAACAACATTGTGCGTACAAATTTAGATTTGCAATTTGAATGTATTAGAGATCATGTTTTTTTCAACCACAATGTTGTTGGTTCTTAGGTTACAGTTCCGTACGTCCGAATTAAAAACAGAACCCTTATAGGATCACTCGTGTGTCTGTCTGCCCGTTTTTTTTTTTTTAATATGGAATTGAAAGTAACAGTGTTTTATGCAGTTCAGGTCCACAGATTAGTGTCCGACCGAAAGTTCGGTTTCGGATTCGGTTTCGGTCGAGTTTCGGCAAAAAAACGCGTTTCGGTTTAGTTTCGGTTTCAGCGGCAAACCTGCCGAAACTACGACCGAAACCGAAACTGCGTTCGAGAGTTCTCGCGCTCTGCTCGGTCATGTTCGGCGCGTTAAATTCCATCCAAGCGAAGTAGATTAGTAGACATTTCGCCATAACATAAGATTGTTTAACTATGAATACTAATAAGAAATAACGATTACAGGTACCTACTTGAAATTATTAGTAGTCGTCGCCTTTTGCAATATTATGATCACGATTAGTTTATAATTTAGTCGTTTACCTTTTGTTTCTGTTGAAGTTTAGTGTCATTCAACATGACGAATTAATTTTAGAAGAAGTTAATTTGTTCTTAATTAAGATAAAAGTGATTTATTTTGTTTTGTTTATTACGTAAATATTATGTTCCTATACCTATTGTGATATTAGGTGACAATAATAAAAATAATTTTATGTTTAATGTTATATAAAAAAAAGCATGAATAATCTTCAAAAGAAAAATGAGTCTAGTCTACTATACTTACTCAAATAAACATCTCAGCTATTTTAAGTATTTTTAAGGCGTAATTAAAGTCTTTCCTTAAATGAGGGGTTGTTACGTTGATTTTGATTTGATTATCAATAAGTGAAAATGTCAAAGACTGCAGAGCTATGTGATTTAAAGTTAAAAAAAAATTGGCTGATTATAATAACGTTTTCTTTATTTTTCTCTCAATCCTTATAAGGAAGTTTCGGTTTCGGTTTCGGTTTCGGCCGAAACCGAGATCGTTGCCGAAATTCGGTTTCGGTTTCGGTTTCGGTCGTAAAAACCAGTTTCGGTCGGACACTACCACAGATACCTATTTGATTTTCATGTGGTAATACAACAATTACTTAAATGACAAGGTGGCCAAATTCATTTTCGTTGATATTTTTTATGATATTGCAGCTTTTACTTACTTTACCTAACAAACTTTAGTCTCGGCAATGATTTGTTACGATTAGTTTGTTGCTTTACTTCGAATTAAAAACTAGTCGCATTTGTACGAACATATTAATCTTCTAAACCCTTACCCAATTAGCAAAATGTCTGTAATAAAGACGAAAGTTAAAAAAAGTAATATGAAGTGTAAGGTTTAAAAATTAAACTTTGCTTCACTACGATAAATTTTGATCATATTTGTTACCTAGTTTCTTACCAACAAACAAACTGAAAAAATTCTCCTAATACTAAACAGTGATGAGTCATTTTGAGTTGCTTTTTAAAGATATTTGATTGTTTAGGTATGAATTAAAACAACATTTTTCGTTAATGTAATTAATTCACCTGTAATAACATTTTTACTATTAATAATTGGAATGTAAATAGATCATTGGCATGGACTGACAATTTGGTTGTTATTAAATGTTGTGTACTCGTTCTTCCTTACTCTAAGTACAAAAATTGTTTGAATATTCGTTTCGTCATTGCCTTTCAATTAACATACCACAGAAATAGGTTAAATTCCGAAGAATTCCAATTACACATTTGAACTTCAACTACGATATATTAGCAATCGTTTCTTTGAAAGGCAACTCATTTAGGAATACCTTTTTCTGTGACCGATTAGGTAAATACCGATAGGTTGAGTATTTAACGATAAATAATCGACTCATAACAAAGATATAGGTATCTAAGTACGTGTCGCAATTCCAAAAGCAGGGTATCTATCAAACATTCTGTTTTTGCACTTACGATTAGAGGTTTCCTTTTTTCACACAATACAAATTTGTACCTTACATACTAGTAGCATTTTTATAATGTATCAAATTAGGATTTCACCTAAACAATTAAGAGTCTTGGTCCCAACGAGCCACTCAGGCCTTGGTCTCAACTTGCAACTCTTGGTTTACCTTGAAAATTAAGATCAAGGAAATAATTTGTCGCGGATAAAAAATTAAATTAATTTTCACCTTAGTATTTTCTTATTTTGTACCGTGGAATACAGATGGCGACTTTCATGTTATGGAATAAATAATTGCTCACAAATCACAAAAGATACAGCCTTAAATCGGCACGTGGTATTATCACTGCCGTACCACGGAGTTTGAAAACATAACATTTTTTAATGGAATTAGCTTAAATAGCTTAGAAATGCCAAGTTATGAAATGATTACAAGAAAAACTCTTTAAGGATTTTTAGACAGAGAAACCTTTCTATTTAGATAAATCACACCCAGGTCCATATTTATCTAAAGAAAAACAATACCACAACCACAGCATTCACTTTGTTTTTGTTGTCCTTTCCTACTGCAACCTAAGGAATACATTTATTGGACATGCTCTTTACCTGTTGAAAAACAATTTGACACATTGAGAGTACAAAACTATTTTTTAAAGCACCGTTCCCCCGATTTCTTCTTCTGTATCAAAAGGTTCGATTCGTATTCAACAAAAAGAAGTGACTTCTGTGTTCGCGAACGGTTAATTTAGAAATTCTAAAAAGGCGCTGTACAGGTGCGAAACATGACTGGTGGGCGCGGCGAAAAAGAAAAGATTCGAAGCGTTCGAAATGTGGTGTTACAGGCGAATGAAAAGGATACCGCGGATAGAGAAGGTTAGAAATGAAGAGGTGTTAAAGACAGTAGGAGGTGCGTGTCCAACCAGTCTTAGGACTGACGGCTTTATGATGACGATAATCATAAACTTCTTGTAGGAAAAGATAAGATGAACGAAGTTAGATGTGACAAATTAGGCAAAGGGTAAGGCGGAAGATGCTAATACATCAGAACCATTTCAGGAGCACAATTGTTTCAACCCCGACTGCCATTCTCAAGAGTAAGAAGTTTGATGTGAATATGAAGCCGTTTCTAGAATCTTCGTCTCTGACTGTGTGTTTTTTCACTAAGGGTGCTTTTTTATAATCCATAAAAAATCCATATATCAAAGAAACCAACATGTGGTTCTATCGATCACCGCCTCAGGCACACGTTTGTAACTGAATATTGTTTTGTATTTCGTTAAGATACCTTAAGCGATCTCCTAAGGCATAAAGTCCTTTCTTAAAAAGAAGGAGGCTCTATCTGGATCACGAGTTTTTTGATTATATGTAATTCAAACGTAACGCTAGGTACCTCTTCCTACTAACCAGACTTGTCTGTTTACCAATAATTTCTTTTTGTTTTTTAAATGCAAAACGGCCATGTGGGGATGGTGTATACGATAAAAGATGACACAAGGAGACAGCTGAAAATAAAATAAAACGGATAGTGCATTAAGCCTTAAAGTTTATTAACCGCAACCAGCCCGTATTGCTGAGCATAAACCTTTTCACCCCTTCCGAGACCGAAATTGATGTATATTAAAGGGCATTACCAACCCCATTTTCACAATTACAGTGTTAATTTTTTAAAAATTGGCAAAATACGTGTATTTAGTTGTATCAATGAGCATTAAGACCGAGTTCCAAGTAAATCCAACCATCAATAAAATATTCTCCATAAAAACGTAGAAATCCAACCTTTTAAGGGTTAATTTTTAAAAATTGTCAAAATACGTGTGTATTTGATTTCAAATAAATCCGTCCACAAATAAAATATGTCCCATGCATACAAAATTTGAAACCCCTTTTCACCTCCTCAGAATCAAGCGTTTAAAATACCGAAATAGGTATGTCATCAAAGAGTAACCCCATTTCACTCCTTAAGAGTTGAATTTTAAAAATTGTCAAAATAAGTGTTTGTTTAATTGTACCAGTGAGCATTAAGACAAAATTTCAAGTAAATCCGACCCGACCCATGTATTGAATTTAGAAATATCCTTCGTTAGTCCTCGTGTAGTGCCTACATCATAAAGGAAATCTTTCTGCAATAATGCAAGTAAGTGCCTGTACTTCTCTGGAGATTACACGGAACGTTCTTCTTTGCCGGATACACTTACAGTTCCTATAATGTTTTTTTACTACTTAAACTGCTCACTTTATTAGAAGGTTTATTTTCTAGATAAAATTCCAGATACCCGGTTGATTTACGACTGTTAATAATTTGATCGCCTCGTAAAAGTGAACAGTAAAAGCAACTAGAATTGGGTTTGTGGCCTTACTTTTTAAGCAACACACATCAACAATTTGTATTTTGAGTGGCGTCTATGATCTCTGACATCTAAACACTTTTTTCGGCTTCAGGAACCATAGTACCAACTACTATAGTTGAAGTATTTCGGCAGCTTTTTTCACTCGTTTGGAGTCGAAATACTGACATAAACATGTGAAAATTCATTCTTAGTTTCTATCCATTATAAATTACCCCAAGTTAATGAGAAAAAATTGTTGCTGTTGTCATACACTCGCCGGGAATCGAACCCGGGACCTTTGGTTATACGCACCAATTATCTCACCAAGATCCCAGGTTGTTTAAGATGTTTAATGCAAGGACTTATTTTAATTAAACCCTTTTCAAATATGTTCGCAAAAAATCTCCGATTACATGATTGTTTAAATCTCGAACGAAAGGTGAAACACCTTAACCAACAAAATTAAACAATACACATAATAGTTGTTGTCTATTTAGAGATACAAGCATATGTATATGACTATGCAAATAAATGACCTCATTCGTGACACAGTACTTAAAATAAAATTTAGCGTGACCGGGTTGAACCTAGATTAGCATGTTAAAAGTTTATTGTTAACAAATGAGAATTAGCGTAACCGTCATAGCATTAACATTTCACCCACTTCATTAATTCGATTTGCTTCAGTGAAGACCTTAGGCTTACAGACGTATTGTATGTTGATTGATATGATTATATGGATTAAATGTGTCCACGATGTGGATAGTAACATCGATTATAATAGCAATCCACTCTTATATCATTTCAATATAAAAAAACAAAATACCTACCTTAGAACGATTAATTTTCCTTTTACTGCAGTTTCTAATAACTGTTACAGATGTCTTCGTACCTGTCTACCATTGATTACTTTCAAAAACTATTTGAT